ATTGTCTTGCATGAATATACCCTGTTCCTGTAATGCATAAAGGATTGGACTTTCCTTATTAATTCATGTTTTTCTTTCATAAGATACCTGTGCAATGAAATGATGCAAATATGTTTAATGAAATTTTAGTAAAAATTACTATAGTTAGATGAACTTTAGCAGTAGGAGTTAGAAATGAATGTTGATGTGTACTTATTAAACATTTGTTAATTGCTAAGTGATTTATTCCTCTAACCTCCAAACTCCTTAATGGATTTTTCATTTCTGCACCTTGTCAACTCTCAGCATGTAGGTGAATATGAGCTTTTAGCAACCTGAGTAATTAAATTTATTAGATCCTCAACAGTAATTAGTAAAACAAAATCTATACAGTAGATGTTGAGTTTGTGGCCTGTTATTGACTAAATTTATCTTTGGGTTTATAAAGAATAGAATCTGCTGTGTTTATTTACTGTATCCAGGAGAATAAGATTTTTCTATGTGTCAGGAATTGGGAGGAAAATTGAGACACAATTTTTAAAAAAGCATCCAAAGAACAGTGTAATTTTATGTATTTTCAGGACGTTTATTGGTTAAAATATTAACGTATCATTTGCATTATAAAAGTGTTCAAATATTTCCAAAGTAGTTTTGATAACTTGATAGAGATACATAGTTATTTTTTAATCTTTGAGTGTCTTGTCACTGATTTTTTTATATAAAATTGGTCTCCTCCACCACAACAGTTGTCTGCTACCTTTTGCGCTATAGCAAATAGCCATTCCTGTCTGTAAATGGTAACCAAAGTGGTTATCTCATAAGGTGGAATAATATTATTGTCTTCCTCTCCTAACAGTTGCATTTATATCTGTAGTTTGAATGGTGATGACAGTTTTACTTGTATTTTCTTTTTCTTTTACACAGAAATGTATCAGACCAATTTTGAATGTGGAAGTGAGCAGGCACTATAAAAAGACAGTAGAAAACATAAGTTGTTTTCAACGTCTGTTTTAATCTATTTGATTTGTTTCAGAAGATTTGAAAAATACCGAACGTGCTTTTTAAGTCCGAGAAATGAAGTCCATTTTTAACTCGCCTAGAACGTACTTCTGTACTTTAAAAGGCAAGATTTAAAATGTCTATGGCAGATAATTACTATGGTTAACACCTGTCTTTGAGCCCTAGTTCATTGCTGGTTGTGTTTTGGATTCTTGGTCTTCATATTATAGTTTGCAGCATGCAACCAAAGTCTGGGTCAGCAGTATCTGGTGGAAAAAAAAACAGTTGTTGTTTTTCAGCAGTTAGCCCAGTGCTTTGGCCACAGGGAAATAGCTTCCTTAGACAATTATTCTAAATGAGACCCCATGGAACCTTCCACTGAGTGTGACTGTTCTAGACCTATCAGTTGGTGTTCTTTTATTCTTTGTAGGGTTTGATGTTGGAAAGGGATCAGGTTGTGCCTGAGGGTAGGTGAAAGCAGAGTAAACAATAAATCTAACAGTTCTGTGACACTCCGAATCAATAGCCTCAATTCATACTGTAACTTTATTATTTTTTTGACATGAGCATTTTCCAGGGATTTCTTTAGCACCTCCTTCGATGAAATGGCATTTGTTTGTGCCAATGTGTTGTGCTCGAAACAGAAGGACAGAATATGAAGCTGTAATGTGCTAAGGAAATGTTTAATTGTGTCCTGTGCTGCTTGAGCTTTGAGTGACGTAAATCACAGATAGGTCTAGGTATTTAAAAAAAATGTATTTTCAAATCCTTTTAGGTCGCTCTTTAGTGTGAGGTAGCACACAAAATGCTAATTTCATTTAGCAATCAGGATGCAAGCCTAGAAGTGAAGAATAAACAGAAATAAAGGATAGGGATAGAAGGGTAAGAGCATATCGCCTGTGATACCTAACCTCTTCTTCACACTTATTACAAAATTTATATACCTTGAAATGTAGAAATCCATAGCTTCAGTCTCCAACATTCTTTAGTTTTCCCTTTCTACTGTACCTTTACAGCCTTGTTTCTTTGTCTGTTTTGTTTCCTGATGCCTCTCTTAATATTTAATGAATTATTTTAGTATCTTCCATTTCTGGGGTATGAGGTCACCAAAGTGCCAAAGCAATGGAAAAAAAGAAAAATAAAACCATTGGAATGGTACATTTGTAAAAGCAAGTTGGGGAAGAGGAAAGGAAGGCGCTGACTCTTCACCTTTTATTTTGCATCTGTTCACATGAGAATACAATAAAGTGGATGTTTTTAAGAGTACAATATTTGTATGTTTCTATTCAAAATGTTTAATGAACTGATGTGCAGTAGGCTTAGTTTCCGGCTTTGAATTCAACCTGCTACACAGGCTCACGTTGACTTTGATCGTGCCTACCAGAGCTTTGCAAGGGACGCTACAAAGTATTTCACAGTTAACAAAATAAACGGGAATTCTCCTCTGGGTCCTTTCCCTGTTTCGCTATCTGGTGGTTCCACACCAGTGGGAAAAGGATGTAAACTCATCTTGTCATCTAGCTCTAACTCTGGAGCTTGCCAGAGCCGAACAGCATGGCAAGCGATCTAGTGATGTGTTTAACTGCTTCCCTGTCCGAAGCTTGCCAAAGGAGTCAACCCCATTAATTCACTCTGAGGGCAAAAGCTTTACACGACCCTGCATGCCCAGCATGCAGGGCCACAGAGCTGTAGAAGACCCACCTCTGTTATTATGTCTTCTTATTAGGTAACATTGATTCCTTATCTGAGAGCACTGCTGTGTTTCTTCTAGTGGTCTTCGCTTTACAAACCAGATATCATGCAAGTGTTACTGAGAGCAAGGAGGAAATTAATTCTTTCTTGTAGTGGCATTTCTGACAAAAAAATATGATTCTTTGGCAACTTTTTGGTTTTCTCTGTAGTGAGCTTTGCCATCTTTGTTTTAGCTCCAAGTGAGCCCTATTTTCTTGCTTACGACCACAGAGAGTTCTGGTGTTTTCTGTGGATCTCTCTTCTATGTCAGTTTTTATTTTGCATATCGTTTCTTCCTTCTGACCCTTACAAACTACCTGTACTACTGTTTAGACAAAACATGTTTTGTCATGTTTATGTATATACAAAACTTGAGACCTGACAGTAAAATTCTAGTTTGATTGACACAGAACTATAGAGAACAGACTACAGCAGGACATTTCACCCAGTGCCATTGTCTGAAAACCAAGGTTTCGAGTTATGTATTGCCTCCAGCATAAAACATTGGATGTTTTTTAATTATATGCACTTCAGGCACACATTTTCATTCACCCCTCTGGTCTGCTCAGCAAAGCTGTACACTGTGTCTCTCTGCTTCAGAAATAGTAGTGGAATTAAACACCCACAGCAGTGTTTCCACGTTGTAGTCAGATCAAATCAGACTTAAGAAGCTAAGTAAAGGCTGGGCCTGGTCACTACTGGGATGGGGGTATTAAAAAAAAAAACAGGTTTCTGCTGTAAATGGTGTTGGTTAACCAGTAGGTGGTGATCTTTCCTCTGAACCTGCATTTCTGAATCAATTTATACTATATGTTGATCAGGGACACTGTGCTGTAAAATGTGCTATTCTTTCGTATGAGACATTAAACTAAGGTCCCGATTATGAGCACATTTATGAAAGATACCATGGCAATGAGTGTACGAGTAAGGGTATTAATCCCTGTGTGCTGCTGTCTGAGTTCCACTTTAATCTTACAGTCTGGCCTCTCAAAAATGTCTCCCTTAATTCAGATGGTGGAGTGTTTTCTCGCTTTTCCACCAGTTGTACTGTGCGGTGTAGAAGCAGGTGCAAAATAGCATCATGCATCACCAACAGGGTGTGGATCTTCAGATGGATGAAGCGGGTCTCTTCCTGAATGTGAAGTGATTTAGAATAAAGGCAGTACAAGCTGTTATTATTAATTGTTATAGCATTGTGTCAGCCCATGAAGATGAACCAAAGTGAAAACACTTTGTCTGGTTTGATATGACAAGCCGGTTATTTGCAGTGCAGAGACTGAACCATTTCACTAATAGAAGGTTTAATTCTCTGCCTAGACGAACATGTAAAATTGCTTTTTGTTAACTAAGGCCTGTGTTGATTTCCAGCTGTGAAAACTCAATAGCATGGATGGCATTCCACCTGCAGCAACTGTGAAGTGCAAATCCTAAGAATTTACAGTTGATAAATTTACAAATCGAAGGGGTTCGTTTGACCCTTTCCTTCTGTTTTTCAGTAACTAATTAATCCAAGGATCTCATCTGGTTGTTTCTTGATAGAAGTCAGGGTATTAGTTTCAGTGACATGGCTTTGAAGCTTGTGACATACTTCCACAACGTTTTGTGTAAAGAAATACCTCTTGTTCTTGATTTTAAATGCACTTTGTCTTAGTTTCTACTTGTGCCTTTCGATTGCGTTTCAGTGATGTTTTACGACTCATTGCAGATGATTATGTTTCTAATGTTCTGATGGAAATTAAATGATGCTGGTATTCTTGTCACAAGGTATCTGGAGAAAAAAAAGTCTCAGGGGTGTCAGTAGGTCATTAGTTATTTTTCTCCTCTGAAGGTACACAGCCTTTGGAAGTCCGTTTCTTTTCTCAGGGCTTGTTCCTTTCATCTGGGGTTTGTTGAGATTTCTGGTGTGATCATTCAGGTAATCTTCAAAAACAAGATTAACTCAAATGCAGAAATCATCTTCTTCCAATATTTTGTCATGATCTCTGGGTTTAATGTTCCCAGAGAACATTTAGCCTTTGCTAAAGTTTGATAGGACAACGTCATGCTTGTGTTAAAGACATTTGTTTGGAAAGCAGACTAGGCAAAATTAAAAAAAAAAAACATTCAACTGCATTCTATCCAAAGATAAATTCATTAATTGCCATTTTTCAGTTTCTTTTATATTCTGAGCTGTTGGCCATCTGTTAGTGCTTTAAAAACATCTTTGTAGTCAGCTGTTTTTTTTCCCCAACATGTGTACACATTTCCTTTCTTGGCTTTCCTCTAACTTTGTGTTTTCTTATTCCTGCCAGTGTTTGCTCTTCAGGATGAAATTGTGCAGCAGGTCACTCCTGCCAATTCAAGGGCTCCTCCTGGTCTATATGATAATGCTGTGCTGCACGCTGATGTCCGCCACAAACCACCATCCCAGAGGGCAGACAGGTAAGTCTCTTCCCACTGGGCAGATACTTCAGGGGCCAATTAATATCTCAGAGCCTGTTTTCTGCTGCGCTAATTTACCAAGGTGTATAGTTCTCTTTCAGTGTACGTTTACAGCATATTCCATTAATGAACAAAGTGGAATTATTGATGAGAAACAAAAGACCATCTTGGGTTTTCTCTGGAAAGAAATTGGCTCTGTATCTGTGACTTTATACAAATCGTTTTGTGTGCCAGTAAGTTCAGACATTATGTAAAGCAGAATTGCTGTAATTTGAGCAATCGGAGGAGGGGAGATCGTATGGACAAGAGGGAGAAGGAAGCAGCTAGCAGCTAGCAGCTGGAAACTCAGTAGTAACAACAGCTGTTACAGATGAGGGTGTTTGTGTGGCATGTTTACGGTGGCTGTGGTCAGATTTCCCAGTGTGATTTCCCAGACTTCATTAGTCGCTTTCTGATGAAAATTAAAACAAATAAAAGCTAAAAAGTGTTATAAGCACCACTTTAAAAATCTCTGAAAACTACTGGAATAATAAGGGCATAAATATGTATGGTTTTAGGTAATAGAACAGACCCCCCCCAGAAAAAAGCAGCATCACAGCTGAAATGAAGCTCACTGCTTGGGTCTAATTGGTACCCACAAGCTAACTAATTCTGATTTGCATAATTCATCGTGTTTTTCCCTGGTGGACATGAGATGACCAATACACTGTAAAATATTTAAAATATCAGAAGGCCAAGCACTAGAAATTTTCCCTGCATCATTAATTACATCCTTGATATACTTTAGGTACTTCTTAATATCAATATATTAATATTTTTATTTTTCCTTTTGTCTAACAAGGTGACCTTCACCAGTTCTTAAATGCCTGCAGCATTTTAGTTTATGTGACTACTGCTGTGACTTTTCTTTGAAGAGGTGATTTTTCTAGAGAAGAGAATTTTGCAAATGATACAAAACTACCAATTTCTCTTTCGTCGTCTGAATTTCCTTCGAAGGTCATAATTTAGTGTTGAATTGAAACTGATTTTGCAAAAAAAAAAAAGATTTAACAGTCCCTACAAAGAAACCCTTTATATACACACACTGATTGAATTTTTTACCAATTACACAAAACTTTTATTTCCTTAAAAACTCGTCTATTATTCTAAACCTATATTGTCAGGGTAAATGTCAGTGAAATTTACGTTTTTACTTGCATGTCTTAATACATAATTCCACTAGGTGGCTCCAAAGCACATAATATCTTTCATTTTACAGTAAACGGCAATTGTTAATTGCAATGTCTTTTAATGTTCTGCGCATTTCCCTATTTTATTCACTGCTTCTATTTATCTTTTACTTCGAATTCCTGAGGAATTGTTAGTACTAATGACAATCGATAAACCAAATCCCCTTGATTTCTAAAATGAACACAAAAACGAAGACAAAATTGATCCTCAATGGGAATAAAGATTTAAAATATTGGGAATAATTATCATCTTCTAATAAGGTTCACTTCCTTAAAATGAGACGCAGCTCTTCTTTATTTTAAATAAATAATCCTCTATTTTTTCTCCTGTTTGGCCCTATAATTTACATGCTAGTACTATGCTCAGGAAAAGAGGGTTTGTTTAAATAGGTGACAACTTTTTTACTGATTCATTTGTATAAGGGAAAAAAGAGTACCAACAAAATCTGGATTGTGTGTAAAAGAGATTTGTATTTCTCTTTTGTTCTTACTGTGGGATAAACTGCTGATAAAAGGCTTTTGGAATGATGAACATTACCCCAAACAACCAGGACACAACAGCTTCTATCTGCCATTACATCTCAACCACTGTAAACAAAGTGTGAATGCTGTGGGCTCACAGACGCCTCCACAGGTCATTATCTGCCTGTTTAGGTCCTTTAAAATTTGTCACAACTCTTATAAAATAAAACCAGTTTGAAGGTCTCGGGGCATAGGTGATGGAAAAATGCCAATTTACGAACTGCAATTGCTGTAACAGAGTGCCTGTGGCAGAATAATCTTTGATTATCGATTGATTTTGTCTCTGGGTGTCAGGAGTTGAATGTCAAAGCGCCAGAACATCTCTGCTGTTATCATCCTCTCTAGCTTCTCTTTTAATCAGCTCTGGTACAAGTTTGGCAATGAGTCTTGCTCTGACCACTAAAGAAAATAAGCAGACATGCAAAAAGGATGTTGCTGGTGTAAATTCAATAAATCCCATTTTTAGAGTCCCACACAAAGCGCCGAGTAGAGACAGTGATCCATCTGAAAGTATCATATATCATGCTTTTATGATGATCACTTGGATTATTGTTCTTTATAAATGAGAACGTTTCTGCTGAATGGCTTGGAGTCTCATTTCTACTTACAAATGTTCAGGTTCCCCAATATCAATCTCAGTGGCGCATGGCTGAAATCTGCACATTTCTATGTCGGCAAGGTGACCTTTTCCCAAACTGCCAAGAGGGAAATATTGCGATACAGAAAAACAAATTGGATGAAACATCCTTTTGTAAGAGCAGAATAGATTGCTGCTACCTCCGTAAACTGTTATTGAACTTTCTGAATTTATGTTCTATCTGAATACCTGATAGCTGCATTTGGATCATGCATTGTTTTAATTACGCCTGTATCACAGCTTGCATTTACATTGCTCGAAACAAAGGATGGCAATTCCTGCATCATTAATCCTCATTTAGAACAGAACCAGCCAAGTACTTTTAAAAATCTACTTATACTATTATGCTTGACCGTATGTCAAAACAGAATCGACAAGTATTAAGTACTAAACTGCAAATATCAGGCTTCCTTATCCCTAACAAACATGCCTGAGAAGTCACAGAGGGTGGATTTTATGAGGAAGAGATTTGCGTGTAAATGAGGCTACGGTTTAGAGCTATTCAGCCGTGAGAACAACCTGTTAGATTTGCATAAATCTGATGATTTGGGCGATTCAGGGTGTTAAATTGAGATAATGTCAGGCTGATTGATGAGGCGCAGGGGACATGACAGTTCGCGAGGAAAAAAGCGAGCAAAATAATTTGCGGCGGAGACAGCATCTCATGATGTTGTTTAGTGCTTGATAAGAAGACAGAGGAACAGAAATCTGATCTAAATTACTGGGAGATGAAAAAGGATGAAATAAATAGGCTCGCTCTAGTGATTACATCCCTTCTTAAATGTGAGTTGCTTATTAAATATTGCACTCCCATGGAAGAAATAAATAAATGCTTTGCCGTTTGCAAGCTCATCCCCCAATAAATCTTTATCTAGTCTCAGAACTGCAGAGTTGCACTCAGCAGTTGGGTTACTCTGCAACACGTGGTGACTTATTTTAGTTTTTTTTAAATAAATGTTACAAGAAAAATGTAACTTCCGAACGCAATGGCTTAGCAATTTTTTTACCTGCATTTTTATTTAGTCACCAGCCTGCTTGTATCTCGATACGTCACTAGAGTTGACAATGTTCTCAGACTGACAAATGTAGAATGTCTGGCTTGCAAAGCAGGCAAGTCACTTATCGACAAGAAGAAGATATGGCTTTTGATGATTAATTATACAATGTTTCACCCCCCCAGCATCTGTCTGACTACATAAACTGCAGCAATGCTTCATGAGCTCAAAGTAAAAAAAAGCTGACGTTTGATACTTGAATCAAAGCATTTAAGTCAAGCTTGAAATTTCATTTAATCACACCTGTATTTTACGAGCTATAAGGGCACATAACTGTTGTACAGGAAGTTGAAAAGGTATTCAAAAGTCACTTTAATTTGGGGAATGAGTGTTACAGCTACGTTTTTCTTAAACTGTTTTTCATAAGGACTTTAAAAGAAAGGCTGATTACTGATGAGCAAAACGTATTCACAAACACAGAGACACAATATAATACTATTCCTCCCATCTCCAGTAACAGAATATTACTTCCATCTCTGGTGAATGAAGCGGAGCCTAGATTCAGATGTTAATCTCTGGACTTCCTGATTAGATGTGGTGTTGTGAGATATTGGTAATTCCGATTCTTGGTTTTGGTATTTCAGCTGCCAGTTAAGCCCTACAATCTCCGGTGACCAGAATGAAGTCAGTACTGGGCAGAGTAGAGACTGCACTGGGCTAGGTGAGAACAGAGACGTTCTTGTTAAAAGGGAACCTCAGCAGGTTCTGTTTCTTCAGGCCTACTGGGAGTGAAAAGAAATGACTGGGCTGACAGCACATAGATTTGTGTGATGTTGTGAATGTCCCTCAATGAACAGAGAATAAATGTAGTTATTTGGAATTAAAAAAAGAAATGGTATGAGTGATGATGTACTTAAATTGCTATATTAACAGTAGCTGCTTGAGATATTACATTATCTTAAGCACACCTTAAGCAATAATTAACATCCCAGTGAGATTTAATGCCTACTTGTTGTGATGATTTATCCATATTAATGTCAAGGCAGTGAATGATTTTGTAACGGCTGGCTCCTAATGATAGAGATAATTTGCCCTAGTGGATGGTTTAGTTTTTGCTTCTGGTTATTTTGATTGTCAATTAGTAATAATAATTTATTTCACACTTTAATTTTCTATTAGAAGTCAGTAGAAAATTAAAGTTTGCTAGGTACCCCAAGTGGAGTTTAGCCAGGACGCTAAAGTGAATGCTTCTGCAATTACAGGGCTGTGGAATCTTTAATGAATGGATGTGTAGTCAGGGCCTTAGTTTAAGAAAAGATAAGATCACTTTATTAGCCATATACAATTTCTTGCATTAGGAATTTGTCTTTTTTGCATACCCCAACTGGCTCTCCATGAGACACAGGCACACAGATAAGGGAGAGAGAAGCTTGGGGTCAGAGTGCAGGGTCAGCCATTTATACGGCACCCCTGAAGCAGCTGGGGTTAAGGGCCTTGCTCAGGGGTCTAACAGAGTAGGATTCCTCTGCCGGCTGCGGAATTTGAAGAGGCAACCTTCCAGCCACAGATCCTTAGTCACAGTGCCACCACTCAACCCTAACTTCTCATATGAAGCAT